TGTGTGTGTGTGTGTGTGTGTGTGTGTGTGTGTGTGTGTGTGTGTGTTTGGTTTGCTTTGTTTGAGGTAACCCTGCTGGTTTCCCCAACAGACCACCGTTTTAATCGTTTTAGAGCGATATTTGCACACCCACGGGCCGGACCATGCCACTTAAGAGGACCAGAACATCAAGCAACCACATGCAAATGATGCGCATAGCATCAAAGAGTTCATGCACCAGGACCTTGAGGACTAGATCATCCTGAACCAGGTCAGACATAGAGACTCCAAAGAGGTCAACTGAAGGTCCTGGTCCCAAAAGCATCGGTGCAGCGCCCGTTGCATGGACCGCAGGGACTGGACCTTGGCATCACGGGTGACGCTGACTGAGGTGCATCACCCCACACTGGTCTTGGCACTGCAAGAGACAGAGGACGGATGAGGGGGGGTTGGGTTGGGAGGGTTCTGGGTTCTTCAGTTTTGCGTGACCAGATACCTGCCTGTTATATCGAGATATTAAAAGATCTTAGATCTTCACACTTCTAAAGGATGATTCAATACAGCAATCCATATCCACTGTGGATGCCCATGTTACAAAAGGCAAAGGCGGCTGTTTTTTTGTTGCGGATCGGGTGCCGTATGTTCCAGGACGTAATGAATTATTCTGAATCACTGGTTGGAGAGGGCTGCTAGTGATGTGGCACGATCCGCAGCTACGTGCCAGGGGCCGTTGCAAGCCTTCAACACCTCCGATGACAGGCCGTGAGGGACAACAAATTGAATACAAGCAACCATTGTATTTGGATGCATTTGGCACATCACCCCAATATGGAAATTGCAGCCGTGCTGGCTTTTTGGGGGAAATGTCCCATGCACAAGGAGAGAGTTATACACCCAGACACTCCGTGGGACTGCCATAGATGCCTACATTGAGCCCCCAAAGCACCCCAATGTAGGTATATGATTATATATGCATATATATATATATATATATGACATACATGGAGTGTTTGGGATAGGTCTTTCTGTGGCCCAGCGGATTTCTCCAAGCAGATTTGACCAAAAGGACTCTTATAAATCACCTGGCGGGAATCTCCGGCTTGGGGCCCGATGTCGTGGCGAGGGAACGTTGGTGAGTGGAGTCGGGTGGAGGCAGAGTTGCTGAGGTTCGACCCGGAAGAAGTGGATTGGAGAGATATGTAAAAAGCCAATTAAATATGTGTGTACCAGTTGGTAAGGATATTAAGATTGTAACTCCTGTAAAATAAGCTCTTGTATCACTTTCTAAACCTACAGTATACATATGATGTCCCCCTAATTATTCCAACCCTCCTGCCATTGTTGCCCAGTCAAAGAGCCTGAATCCCGCACGGTGGCAAAACATGTTGTTTGAGGGGGAAGCCTGGCACTGCTTGGACTTGAAAGCAAGACTCGACATCGGTGGCCGTGACGTGGTGGTGATGGGTGAATTCGATGGGTAGCGGGTAGCTTTGGCAGTTCGTTGCATACACAAGCTGAGGACCCATCGGGATTGATGGTTGGTAGTTACTATCCAATGACAGGAATAGAAATCATGCATGTTGTTTGTTTCCATTATGGTTGTTTTGTCCTTTTGGGGTGTGTTTGTCAACTAATTTCAATGCTGGGGAAGGGATACACACCCTGCACAATTATTTCCCCTTATTGTTGAATCAGTTGTTGAATCTTATGTCAAAAGGGTGAAACACTTGCACACCCCTCCGCATGACTCTTGGCTCCCAAGTGATGCCTTCTACACCAGTTTTTCCAAGAGAGTAAATCCAAGAGTTCTTTTTGGGGGAGCCTGTCTCTCCGGTGGATCAACTCAGACGCCGGCATTCACGACGGGATGGAGGCCCTGCAACAAGGAGTTGGAGCAATGGACCCCAGCACCTTGGCAGCGCCTGGGCTGCAACAAGTTGATGATAGTTGATGATAGTTGACAGGGTGTTAAAAATGGTTTGGCAGCGAAGGGTGAAGGGTTTGTTGAAAAATAAATAGATGAAAGTTGCTTGATGTTGCTTGTATTATGTTGTTGGTCCTTGATTGGACATGGAAGGCGGGTTTTCACTCGCCAATTCTACAAAGAAACCCAAGATAGACTCTTAATTGTGTGCATGTGGCGCTGTCCAATTTCTCAGAGCCTACTCTTTACTTGACAATCTCATAGACATTTATAGACAATATCCTACATGTGATCAGACCTGTGTTGTTGAATGTGTTGTCCAGATCGGCCCACCGTGGGCGAGCTGAGGTATGCGCCCGAGTCGGCGAGAGGCAGCTCGATGACCTCAGACTTGAAGGAACGTGCCAAGGTGGGAACATGTGGATTTTAAGTCCATCGAGGTGGGATGAGAAAAGGAGCGGAAAACTGAGGGGCGGAACGGATGAAGCGAGCTGTGTGTTTTTTTGTTTCTTTGTTTTGCTGCTTACTTGTAACATCAAAATGGTATATACGGTATAGTTGACAAAGTCCCTGCGGTGTTTGGGGATGTTTTTCATTTGCGACCACACGTGTTTGTGGGTTTTGAATCACACCCAACAAGGTGGGATGGTTTGATTTCTACCGTTGGCTTGGAACTCTATGGAACTCTAACTCCGCAAGTCTTGACCTAAGTGGTCATAGACAGTATATAGGCCCTGGCCACATGAAATGCATGAAAGCAGCATGTCTAGAGCGAGTAATTGGAACATGTTAACCTCCATCTAAGACTGACTGGGAAGAAACAGAGAAGTACTACCTCCAACCAACTGGTTGTGATATGTTGTGATGCCTATGCTAGATTCATGTTAGTTTTGGGGTTGTACCATGCTCCATATGGGTGGTTTGGGTCTGATTTTGAAGCACAATCTCCGCAGTTCATGCTGCAGCTCCAAAGATGGTTCCACCAACGGCTTTGGACAGTGAACTACACTCACGGACCATCATCGTTGGATCAAATCGATGTTGAAGGCCTCCAATAAAGTGTCCATCAAATGCTATAGAGCCCAACAAGGCACTTCAGAAGCCCGGACACATTGTGTGCGCACATCCACAGTTTCTTACTGTCCATTTGTTATGTGAAGTGCCATTAGGTACAAGAAAAGCACTTACCCTCCCTCCAACAAACATGGAAATGGTTGTCCCCCCGTGTTTCGGCTATTCCGATTTCATGGTCTGACCGCAATTAAAATATACGTGGCCTGACGGTTGCCATCCACGTGTCGCAACGTTTGATTCCACGTCGCCATTCAGTTGACAGTCTCGTCTCCCGCGGACTCCACGCAGGTCGGACGGCGTGGCGTCTTCGGCACATGTGGGGGGGGGGGCCCGAAGGGAGAGGGGCCTGGGGCGCCTGGGGCTGGTCGAGATGTTGTTGTTTCTTTTTCCGGTATCTGGGTCTTTTTCGATGGTTTTTCGATATCACTTGAGCTCATTTAGATGGTTTTGTGATAGAGGTCCTAATTAGGCGTTTGAGATGAGACAAGTCAGAAACCCAATATGAATGTTCCCCTGGTACAGCACCATGGGATTGGTGAAGATCCTGTGATTCAATTGATGTTGGGATGTGAACCATTCAGGTACCAGGACTGGGGACAAAAGGAGACAGATTATATGGTGGCAATACATCAACTCCCCCTTAGGCTATGAAATCAGAGGCTACCTACAAAATGCAAACATTACATGTTGTAGGTGGTTTTAGAATGCTTGACGTCGGGCGGGCGGGCTGCATCTGTAGCCGTAGAATGGTTCCTTGTCGTCCTCGTTTGCGTTCCTCATCGATTGTCAACAGAGTCAGCCCTGCGCAGCCCATCATAGCTTGCTTTGCAATGCTTCGCAGGACCGTCGCGTGAGTAGTAGTTTCCGGATGTTTCCGGGGCCAAAGTTCTCTTGCCAACTCAGTGTAACATGTTGTAACTAGAATTGCTCAGAACATGATAGAACACAGTTTCTTGCATATATACATTATTATGTGTTTCAACACATCTAATCGTCTATATATATACATTTCATTATATCCATTCGTGTAAGCCAGAACCCTACACCACAAAACCAAAAAGACAGTGTCCTACAATTTCTAACATTCATGTAGCTCTTCGCATTGACGGAGCAGTCGCCAGCGGCGAAAGGAAGTGTGAAGAGCTGTGAACTTTTGATGTTTGTTGTATAACAAGGACGCTAGTAGGAGCTAAGGGCATCGCTACTAGGAGCTCCTGGCATCGCTAGGAGCAAGGACGCTACTAGTAACAAGAAGCTACGAACGTAACAAGGGCATCGCTACTATATATCAACTTTTTCATTTTTCGCCGTCCAGTTGAGCAAAGACGCCTTTACCGTCCTTTTTGGACCGTTCTGTTGGACCGTCCTCTAGTTAAACCATGTTAAACCCCGTCAAATGGCCTTTCAGAAGGGGGGGTGAAGGGGGGACCTGCAAATTTAGTAATACATTTGCAGGTTCCCCCCATCTCCTAGGGGCAGTGATCGCAATACAGTTGCTTTAGTCTTGCTTAGGGTGGCTTGCTACTCTTCTATGGACATGAATTGCTGCAGCTTGCCACCCTGTTTCCTCATCGTACATTGGTTGTTTGTTTTTGTCCAGAAATCTACCATAAGAAGAACCAACATGAACTGAACTAACTGAAAAAGTTTGATAGAAGTCAGGAAGCCTCACTAAATCTCCTTGAGACTTGCAACATTTTCTTGCTACCCTGGTTCCTTCCGAATCGGAATATCACTTGCACCTCGGCCAGGTGCTGATCGTTTCTATCGAAGCCCCTTGAACGCCAAGGAAGGCCCTGAAGTGGAGCTGGGGAGCTCGGATGAGCACCTGCAGGTGCTCAATGCTTCCTCCGGTGAATGCCTTACTCTCTTACATAACAATACATGCCATGTTTGAGGGCTCGGTGGCGGACCCGTTTGCTTCAGTCTATCGAATCAAATGGTTTCTGAAAACAGTGATCACCTGAGAGATCTCCAGATGAACGGATTCTGCTCAAGGTCACATGGCATGAATAGTCTTTCAAACGAAACTCAGACCCTTCGAGCTTGTCTCCTAACCAATTCAAACGAGACAAAGACTCCATCCACCAGAACGAATCAAACATCCAAGCACCGCAGAGAGCGATTCAGACGGCGCAGCAACATTTTCGCTGGTTCCCCGGCCCATCGTTCCTGGAACCATCAAAGCTACTAGTACCAACCGACCGCTTGATTGGACCGCCTTCCTTTGCCCAGTTGGGACGGTGGCAACGCGGCCATGGGCAAGGACCCCACCTCGCCCGAAGCCAGGCGCTGCACGCGGGAGGAATTGTGTTTTACATGTATTGTAGACAATACAAATTGTTTGTTGTGTTTTTGCATGTTTGTTTGTTTTTTTGTCAGGGGTGTTTGGATGGAGAAGCAAGGAAAACGAACACATTCCTGTGGGTGTGGTGCCCACGGTAAAGAAACACACAATCCAGGAATGTGTGTTTCATTTATTTGTTCATTCCTGGAATCCACTTTGGCGATTTGTTTGGTGGATGATTGGTTTCTAACCTGTCAATTTTAGACCGATATGGATGCTTCTAACATGTCATATGTCACAAACGTCAAATTGACACGGAGTTGGTCAAGGAGCTGGATTTGCCAGCCAATACACGGCAAAGGTAAAACCGAGTATCCAGGCCTGTACAATTGCAAGAGGGACATCAGAAACATCAGTTGATTAGTTGGTTTGAGGTGCATACAGATATGTTTTCAACATTTTTATCAGCATGAGGACGCGCAAGACTAGCCACCGCTGTTTTTCCTTTGTAGATCCTTGTGTTCCAAAGGTCCCTCGAAAAGTTGTTTGAAAACCATAGTGTACCCCACTGGAACTGGAAGTGGAACTGGAACTGGAACCCCCCCCCCGGATAAAAAATAATCATCCACGCTAAAAACTGACGTTGGCAATCACGTCCAGACTCGGACCCAGAGTTGGAACTGGAAGTGGAACTGGAACTGGAACTCCCCTCCCTCCTCCCCAGTCTTCCGTGTTGGACGACGTGGAACTGGAACTGGAACT